GCATTGCTCGATCTCGGGCCACCAAGGCATGCTGCGATAAGTCTTCCATCGGGTGAGTAGGCCAGGGCACGACACGCGCCTGCGAGAAGTGTGCCACCCAGCCTGGCAGTCCGAACATCGCGGGCTTCTGCATCCCACAATGCAAGGGCACCTTCATCAGAGGCTGCAGCGAAGCGCTGCAGTGTCGGGTGTGAAGCCAGGCCCCATGACTCACCGGCAGCAGCTCCGCCACCGGCGATTGGCGCTGACACTGGCACTCCATCTGACGCCCTGAACTCTCTGAGCTGCGTTGCGGCCTGAGAGCCTACCAGAACCCTAGATAAGTCTGCTGAGATGAACACCGAACGAACGGGCCCCGCGCCGTGATTGTCAAACTTGGATACCATCTCGAGAGCGTCATTCCAGAGTCTAATATCGCCGTCACGTGCACCAGTCACAAGCGCCACCAGACTTGGTCCTCTGCTTGTGTTTGATGCTTTGGCCCGTCGCCATGGAGTATCCATGGCATAAATGAATCCATCGTGCGCTTTTATAGATTTTTCAAGTTCACGAGATGACCCTCCAAATACGAAAAGATGGCCATCCGCTGTGCCGACGATGCAATTGCCGCCAGATAAATATGCACAACAAAGAAATGCCTGCAGCGCCCCGTGTCGCCCGACCCTCGCGAATGAGGCAGATGCGTGCCTCGTTGCAACTTGACCTGCCGTGAAAGTGAAGAAAAGAGCGTGCTTGACACCTACGATAGCCATCTCGTTTCCGAACCTCCCAAATGCGAGGTCCAGTGGTTTACGCTTCGTGGTTGGCGACGTAAATAGGAGGTATCCCGAAGATACGTCATGTACTGCGACTGTATGGTTGCTATCTGCCCCAATGCTAGCAATCCTCTCACCCTTGTCGTCATCAAACGCTAGGAGAGTCACCGCATTTGAATGCGGCCCATGAATAATCCTGCTAGGCCCACTTGTAATGTTTGATGTGGACCAAAGGGCTATCTGGGGGTCTGACCCTATATCTGAAGTTGCTACAATTGACTTATCGAGTGATATTGCTAGGGCGCAGATTTCGAATCCGGCGTGCGCAGTCCCGAATGACTGGGCACCGCTCCCGAGATCTACACGGACGAGGGTCCCCCCCGCAGGATATATGACAGCGCCGCATTCTGTGTATTTTGCGTTATTGCGGCTGGCACTGCAGCTGTAGCCAAACACCCGTGACAACGTCAGCGCATCCGTTGGAGCAGAAGGTGCTCGAGGGCGTGGTTGAGGCGGCGTCGTCATGGTGAGATACCACGGGTCGCGTGAGTAAGGCGCCTCGGGTTGAGCGAATTCCGCATCGACGCCTGCTTTCGCATCATCCGTGGTACGCGTGACCTATGATGATGAAAGAGCTCAGACTTGAGCAGGTGCACGTACACGGCTTCTTGCCTCTTGCTCGGCAGCAAGTGCAAGCTCATTTGCGATATCGACAGCAATTTCGCAATCAAGAGTGCGCTTGAACTCGTGGTTATCCCGCAGTTCAGGAGCATAATCCTCAGCCTCATCTTCGTCGCGGTCGTCTGCATCCTCGACGTCACGCTCATCTTCCATGAGGATCCACTGCATTACACAACGATCATCACGACCAGCAGTGAGTAGGTGTGTTTCGTCCGAGTTGAAAGTCGCGGCCACAACAACACCCGCGTGTCCACGCCATTCAAATCGTGCAGCATCT